CCCTGCAGCCCCTGTTATGTAGTCCCCGTTTCATTTCAGCATTTCATAGGGAAAGCTGTATCCCCAACTATGGGAAAGTCTAGCTTAGCATTTTCTGAATTTAGCAAATAAAGTCTCCAGATGGAATGACAGCTCGACTTTTGCAGGCCTGATAAAAATCTTTTGGGGGGGATGGTGGGTAGAGAAAGAATGTGCTGTGCTTGGTTGCTTCCAGTGCCAATACCGGCAATATTCAGCCCAGACCTGTTGGAGGGTCATTGGGGCCGACACAGAGGCAAGGGCATCCAAATGCCGGGCTTGCCTTTCAGTCCACTGCACTACCAGACTGACCTGCTTAATAAAATCTAAATCATTCTTTTCAATAAGTAATTATTAACCCTTTAGGAAGTCTTTCTTAAATGGGTAATAAATTTTGTAAATATATCCCCTTCCAAACTGATAAAGCTTTGAACAACAAGACGTACCAAACCAAATAGAAGGGGATAGTGGTGAGCTTGAAGACAATATAAATGTTTCTCAATGAACGACAGCAGTTTAACCTGTCTCTCTCACACTTGTAATACTTATATCTTACATGGTAGGCTAGAAAGTTCTGATTACAAGAGCAAAGCTTTCAAAATTTCAACATTAAATATGAGACTTGTTGGGCCAAAGAGTTACAGTAGTTAAGGTGATTGCCTTGCATGTGCTCCTCAGCAGTACACGAGCAATGAACCAAGACTGACCCTATTCGGGGGGAGGGAATGATATTTACTATACAGGTTTTTTGTTTATAATGTAAAGTCATGAGGACAATAAGGAAGTCCTTACTATAACCTATTTTCCTGAGTACTTTCCTGAGGGACTGAGCTCAGAACCTCAATCGTTCTAGGAATGTGCTCTACCACTTGAGCTACCTCCTGATGCCTAAATGTTTTAAGATTTTAAAAAATAATGATCGGCCACATGCTAAGCAAAATGAGTCAGAAAGAGAGGGACAGACATAGAAAGACTGAATTCATCTGGGGAACATAAAGTAACAAAATCGGAGACTAACACCCAAGAATAGCCGAGATAAATACCAGGAGGTTTACTCCATGGCTTGGAGGCCAGCCGCACACTCTAGGAGTAAAGGCAGCTCATATAGAGAAGGGAGCACCAAATAAAGGGTGTTGGGAAGATCTGCCCAGGATGGGAGATGCATGCTGACTATAGACTGAACATGATTGCCACTCAATGCCTCTTTTGCAAACCACAGCACCCAAAAGGAGAGAGAGAACAAAACGGAATGCCCTACCACAGAGGCAGGGTGGGATGGGGGTAGGGGGTAGGAGGGATACTGGGATTAGTGGTGGTGGAGAATGGGCACTGGTGGAGGGATGGGTACTTGATCATTGTATAACTGAAGCCCAAGCACAAAAATGTGTAAGTCTACAACTGTACCTCATAATGTTTCACTAATAAAAATTTTTTAAAAAAAATGATCGGCCAGAGAAATAATATGTAGCCAAGCCTGGTTCAATCCCTGCACTGCGTATGGTTTCCTGAGCACTACCACGAGTGATTCCTGAACACATTTGGATATGGTGCCAAAATCAAACCAAACAAAAAAAGAATGAGTGCTAAATTTAACAAATAATTTCTTCTGCATCTTTACCAGATATATTAATATTTTCAACACCAATTGGTATAAGCTGAATGTTTTATCCTAATACCCTTACATATTCACTTGCTGAAACCCAATCACCACTTAACAGTACTGCAAAATAGAAGTTTTGGGTAATTAAGACACGAGAGTGGAGTTCTCACGAAAGGCTTCAGTATGCATAAAAATATGTCTCCTGGAGTAGCTGGAGAGATAGTACAACTAGAACAGCATTTTCTTTGCATGCAGTCAGCCTGGATTTGATCCCTGGCACCTTTCATGGTCCCCTGAGCATCACTATGAGTGATCCCTGAGCACAAAGCCAGGGGTAAGCCCAGAGCAGCGCTGGGTGTGACAAAACAAAAACAAAACAAATAACAAAACCATCTCCCTTACCCCTCTTGTGATTTGAGAATAGTAAGAAGTTAACCATCTGTGAAAGAGGACAAGGCCAGACCCTCACAGTACACCATATATGCCAACACCTTCGTCTTAGACTTTATAGTCTATACAAATGTGAGAAATGTTGTTTATAACTCATTCAGTCTATGGTATTCCATTCTAAGAGTCCAAGGAGACTAAGACACCAATCCTACTGAAAACCCTAGAATGTAAAAGTACAAACTGATATAAAGCTTGGGAAAACCATACGGCTTTATATACTGAACGGTACATACGCATATCCTATAAAGACATAATTCCATTGGTTGGTGCACGTTTGTATACACATGCCAAGCATAAGACAGAGGAGTCCGTTCACATATAATCTTGTAAGAAAACATTACAACATGATTTGTAAGGACTCCTAGACAGGTAAGAATTTAACACAGCAGATTTAAAACTACTAACCATAAAAAGTCTGGCTTGTAAGTTTGGCCACTGACTGGCACTGAGGAACTTGTCTGTTCTTGTCTGTTAAACAATTCCCCACTCTGAAATGGCATTTTCCCTAACAGAAATGTGGAAGCAACTCAAGTGTTCATTAACCAACAGTGGATAAGTAAAATAAGGTATATAAATATAATGCAGTATCATTCTGTGTTGAAAGACATGAAAATCATGGGGCGGAGTAATAAATAGGACAGAAGAATGTTTGTTTTGTACATGCTGACCTGGGTTTGATTCCTTGCACCCCATATGGTCGCTTGAGTCTGCCGGGGTGACCCCTGAGTGCAGAGCAGGAATGGCCCCCCAATATAGATAAGAAATTCTGGGCCAGAGAAACAGCTCAAAGGGCCGAGTGAATGCACAGCATGTGGAAGCTCAAGGCTGACCCTTAAGCACTGCCAGAAGGAGCCCACAACATCATGCAGGGAGTATTACACCCATTACACCCTGCGCAATGCTGGCTGTACCATTCCTCACAAATAAATAAAATAAAATGGTGACTAGACAAATCTAAATATATTTTCGAAAAACTATAGTTGCAGAGATAATTTCTGATTGGTATGACATATAGAGAAGTATGAAGTTATACTCCCACAATTCTATTGTGTTGTAAATGAATAATAAAGATAATAAATGGCATAACTAGAAAATAATTTAAAAAATAATTTTTTGCTTCATCATTTCTCTTACTTTATTTTTCTTCTTGAGTTTTGGGGCTATTCCTGCAGTACTCAGGGTTCTCTCCTGACTCTGCTCAGAGATTATTCCTGGCAATGTTTAGGGAACCATATGTAATGTCAGGATTACTCCTGACGGATTACGGCATGTAAGGCAAGTGCCTATTGTTAGCCCTGTACTATGTTGCCAGCCCTCTTTATTTTACTCTTTATTATTACTATTGTTATTGCAGTGCTGGGAATCAAATCCAGAGCCTAGACACAAAAGGTAAGTGCTCTGCAGCTAAGCTGTATCCCTGGCCCCTTAAACTATATTTAAGCACAGATTCTAGTTAAAATAATTTGCTGCTAGAACTGGCATAACACTCCAGTGTCTGTTTTACTTTCAAAGTTAATCTGACATTTAAAGCCAATTTTATTACTCTATACACAATGAAACTTTTCCATAACGGTCTAAAAATCTGACCAATAAACAGTTTTGCTTTGATTCAAATCCGAGAAGTTTTCCCACCTGATAAGATATCTCATTGTGCCTCAACTACTTAACATCTAGTTTAATACAAGATAGCTGGATCTTTCTATTTGCTTTCCCATCTCTTGCAAATAACTAATAATCATTTGTTATGTAATATCTAGAAAATTCCATGAAGGGGGGTGGTAACAGTACAATGGGCAGGGTGCTTACTTTGCTGACCTGGATTTTATTCCTGACACCACAAATAGTAGCCTGATCCCCATCAGGAATGATCCCTGAGTGCGGAGCCAGGAGTGAACATTGAATACAGCCAGGTGTGACCTAAAAACTGGAGGTGACAGGGAAAGGAAATTCCATCGGGATATAATAAAAAGGAGAAGGGACATCTTAGTATTATTATGAAAATAATTTTGACCTTTTGGACCTTCTGGAAAAAGAATTGGGGGAGGTCTCTGATTATACTTTAAGAACTCTAAGATTACCTTTTCTCATCATTTATAAAGATAATATGCAAGAGACCAGGGTGCTATTATTGGAAAGAAATCTCAAAGAATTAGATTTATAAACACTGGACACTGGTAGTACTTGACTTCAGCACTAAAAGCAGCAAGCAGTCAATGCCAGAAAATCACTCCCTTGTATCACCAGTTTACTATACCAGACTTAGAAAACTTATGTATAGCAAGAAAATTTAAAAAAATTATATTTGCATGAGAAGCAAAAGAATATAACCCCTGAGGGGCTGGAGTGATAGTACGTAGGGAGTTTGCCTTGCATGCGGCTGACCTGGGTTCGATTCCCAGAATCCCATATGGTTCCCCGAGCACTGCCAGGAGTAATTCCTGAGTGCAAAGCCAGGAGTAACCCCTGTGCATCACTGAGTGTGACCCAAAAAGAAAAAAAAAAAGAATATAACCCTTGAGACAGTATGTACTTAGACCACAATACTAATAATTCTGGAAACTATAATTTTAAAAACTAAACTCATTATATTTTTAAAATCTCTAGTTTGGAAGCAACGCAACAGACACTGAATACACTACCAAACCTTGCATTAATTTGGTTAAGTATCAGTGGGCTGGTGAAACAGTTTCAAGACAAAAGCTGCTACTGGCATTAAATCATCAGTATAACATAATAAGACAGTCACAGACCTTATTTCAATAGACATTGTTATGCACAACAGAAATCCTTACGCAGTATTTTTATACAGGATATATAAAAACCAGTATATTTTTTAGAATTTGCAAGTTGCTGCAGATTTGGTATGAACACAATAATCTATTTCTCTCAGGCTTCCGTTCTAAATCACACTCAGCTACAATGTAGTACTTACCACCAGTGCGAGAACAAGGGTCCGCACCTTCTCCCCAATTTCAGGTGAAATGTCATTGCCAAATTGTTGCAGAGTAGTGAGGAAACGTTTCAACTTGCTGAGCTGCCTAGCTCCACAAGTGGCTGGCAACTGCTGATTTGTTAGTGCAGATGATGTGGAAGAGGCAGGACCATTGCTGAATCTCTGCGGTGGTGATGGGGCACCATTCAGGGTAGGAGGAGAATGGGTGATGCCATTACTTACTAAAAGAAAGTCAAGCAAAAGTCTGTTAAAGTGTAAAACACAAGAATTTTGTTCTTATTTGCTTTCTCCTTCATTTTATTTATTTGAATTTTGTTAAGAGTACACAAGACACTTTATGTTCTTCATGATTTTGCTTCACAGTGAAACAGAACATCAGTTAAAAAATAATAAAGCAGAAATATTAAAATAGAAAAGAGTAAGGGCTGGGTATCTGGCTTAGGAGGTAAACAATATGCCTAGCATATGCAGGGCTTTGAATTCCACTCCCCAACCCCTGAGCACTTCTGGGAAATGTTCTACTGATCATCTCAGCATCACTGGGAATGATCTCTATGAAAAAGAAATAAAAAGGTCATCGAGATAGTACAGAAGTTAGGGGACTTGCCTTGCCTAGCGAATGGACAACCCTAGTTTGATCCCCAGCATCCTACTGAGTTGGAGCCAGGAGGCACCCAAGCACTGCCAGATGTGATCCAATCCCAAACCCCCAGAATAATAAAATATTTTGTAGCAAAAGGAAAAAAAAAGAAAGAAAAAGAAAAGAGATGCTTAAAGACTGGGAGGCCAGAGAGGTAGTATAGGAGTTAAGGGGCTAGCCCTGCATGCAGCCAACCCTTATTTGACCTCCAGCGTTCTGTATGGTCTCTGAGCACCACCAGAACTGATCCCTGAGAATAGTCAAAAGTAAGTTCTAAGCACTGCTGGGTGTGGCCCATAATCCCTTCCCACCCCCCTAAAAAGGACTGGAGTACATACTTTGCATGTGAGAGCTCCGAATCCTAACCACTAGACCACCAGGGAGCGCACACACTTTGCATGTGAGTCCTGGGTTTAACCCTGGCACCACATGGAAAGTTAAGGTAAAACCTAATAGATAAAAGCATTGCCTATTTAGATGCTTTCATTAATTTCCTCACCAAATTAAAATTTGATGAGCAGGGCAGGAGGAACAAGGTGGGGAACCTACCAAGTGATCAGGAGTTACTCCTGGTGTTATTTTATCAAGTAGGCTGGCAATTCAGAGCTAGGGCCTGAGGATGTGCTCCGGCTCAGGCCTTTGGTACCAGGAAAGAACACAGCCACCTCAGCACTGCTAAGTGGCCTCCAGGACTGTACCCAGTAGCTATATCTGGCGATGTTTGGTAGGTCATGTGGTGCTGGGCATAAAATCAAAGTCAGGAAACTGCCCTTACCCCTCACCCCTCAAAATTATGATTCCTTTATATACTATAGCAATGTCTGTAGCACTGTCCTGTTGTTCATCGATTTGCTCGAGCGGGCCCAGTAACGTCTCCATCATGAGACTTGTTGTTACTGTGTTTGGCATATCGAACAGGTCATGGGTAGGTTGCCAGGCTCTCCGAGATGGGCACAGGAATTGAACTTGGGTCGGCCAGGTTGGCCACGTGCAAGGCAAATGCCCTACCCGCTGTGCTATCACTCATTGCATATATTGATGAATACTTTATTATGTTTATTGTCTAATATAATTGTTATGAACTAAACTGTGTCCTCCAAACTCTTTTTTGTTGTTGTTGTTTCAGGGCCATACCTAGTAGTGCTCAGGGGACTATATGTGATTTCAGAAACTGAATGTGGGTCAGTAACATGCAATGAAAGCACCCTATCCTCTGTACGACTGTCCAACTCTAAGCCTTATACAGAAGTTCTAAAACCAGCTACCCTCACTTAGAATGTGATTATCCTTGTGAGCAGGACATTTAAAGATAAAATGAAATGATGTGTTGGTCTCTAATCCTATATGACTACTGTCCTTAGAAAAAAAGGTGGGGTTCACTACAGGTGCATGTGCACAGAGGGAGCCCACAGGAGGATGCAGCAAGTGTGTGGCTATGTTCAAGCCAAGGACAGAGACCTTAGGGGAAACCAAACCTGCTGACAAATTAATCTTGGACTTCCAGTCTCCAAGTCTAACCATGACAATACTGGAAAATTTAAAAAGTTGTTTATGAAACTTACCCTGAATTGCACAGAGAAACACAATAATTATTTTACAGTAAAAAATTAAAATAGCTACCTACCAGACAAAGAGTATGACAGAAAAATTATTTTATTTTTTTATTGCGGGACCATATCCAGCAGTGTCCAGGGATTACTCCTGGATCTAAGCTCAGGGATCACTTCTGGTGGTGCTTGCAACATCATATGGGGTGCCAGGGGTTAAATGTGGGTTCAAACACCCTAATTGCTGTACTATCTCTCTCTGGCCCCTCTTTCATTTCTGTGTTGGGAATCAAACTAAGGCCTCACACATGTAAAGTGTGTGAACCATATTCTTGGGCCCTTAGATCAACAGTATGGAAACAAAATATTTGAACTACTAAATTTTCAAATGCTTAAATAATTTAAATATTATTCTCAGAGCTATCCACAAATGTATCACAAATGTATACACAGAAGCCCAAAATAGTATACACAGAAGCCCAAACAGCAGCTAATCACTCAGATCTAAATGAACCACAAACCCAAGTAATCAAAAGAGTCTCACATGCTGTAGGAGTAAATGACACTGGCCTCGGTCCTCCAGGATTTATTGGTGGAAGTGGTGGCATGGTAGGAGGTGAAGATCTCGATTGTATCTTCACTTCCACAGGCGATCCAGGCATTGCTGGCACCCTTTTCTCAGGACCAACTATAAAGAAAAAAAAAAAGGAATGGAAATGAGTTTTTTTTATAATAAAAACGGTGACAAACTAACTTACTTTCTTAGAGGAATGCAAAGTAAAGAACATGTTTAGAGGGTCAGCGATATAATACAACATGTAAGGCACATACATTGCACATAGCTTACACAGTTTACATCCCTGGCACCCCATATGTTTCCCCAAGCCCCGCCAGGACTGATCCCTGAACACAGCCAGGATCATTCCTGAGCACTGCTGGGTGTGCCCAAGTAAACAAAAAAACATTTTTAGTATAAAGGGCTGAATGAGTGCCCCTCGAAAGATATATTTACCTTTTAATTACTTGAATTGTGAATGTTTCCTAATATGGGAGACAAAAAAGTCTTTGAAGATCTAATCAGTTTTTCTTTGGATGGTGGGTTTTTAGGTGACACCTAGCAGTGTTCAGGGATTACTCTTATCTCTCTGTTCAGGGATAATTCCTGGTATTGCTGGGGATTGAACTGGGGGTCAACTGCATGCAAAGTGAGTGCATTAATCTCTGAACTACCTCCCTGATCATGATTTTTTGTGTTTTGGGCCACACCCTGTGACACTAAAGGGACACTAAAGGGATGTTGTGGTGTTGCGAACCAAACCCTGGGCATCCCTTATGTAAATAAAGCACGTGCTCAGCCCCTTAAGTTATGTGGGGCTCTAATTCTTATTCAATCTTAAGAGACTGAATCAAGAAGGAATCAATCTTGCTGATTCATTCATTCATTCATCTTTTGAATTGTTGAGTTGGGTTTTTTAATATCAAAGTATGAATAGTGTCCTTAAAAGGAGAGGGGGGAAAAAAGAGACATAAATAAAAAAGACATTACACCCCCCCACTTGAGCCTTCCTGCACCAGAAGACAGGAGAAAGGCATAGAATATATATATATTTTTTCTCTGTGGCTCTAAGAAGGAATCAATCCTGCTGATTCATTCATTCATTCATTCATTCATTCTGATATTTAGTTTGTGGTGCTTTGTTTTAGTAATTCTAGAAAACTAAAATAAGTCAACAAGAGCAAGGGGTGACATGACCTGAAAGTTAACAATTAGGATAGTGGCTAAGTAAGGAAGAAACAAAGTTGTGAACTCAATTTCTTTCTTGAGTTCTTATAACTGAATCATATCAGTAAAAAATAAAGGCTAATGTGGGCCTAATTCAATAAGCATTTACTTCATGGTATGAAAATAAGAGTCATAAACTGTTTAATGTAGATTACCACAAATGATAGATACTACATTTTTATATATTCACTTGATCACCTGACTTCCCGTTAATCGTCGATTTGCTTGAGTGGGCACCAGTAACGTCTCTATTTGTCCCTGTCGCGTGCTAGTGTAGACCCTTACAATGGGTCTCATTCCCCTGACCCTGAAGGCATCACCAGTAATTTTATATATTAATTACTCAAAGTAAGAAAGAAGAGCTGGAGTCAAGGTCAGGGACTTAGTTCAATGAATGAGTGATACAGCATGTGCCTTGTATGTGTGAGGTCCTTGGTTCAACTCCTGACATAACAAAAAAACGTGTAGTAGTATCTTTGACATTGGCACATAAATGTTAATTATGATGCCTATGTTCAAAGAAGATGAAAAGCTTTGCTGATTCCAACCTAAGTAAACAGTACTTTGCCCATAGGGAAAATGTCATAATAAGCAGCAATCTGATAACATTAGACAAATTCCAGAAAGGGAAATTAGATAGATTAAACATCATGACAATAGATAGATTAAACATCATGACAATAAAATTGTGTCTAAACTAATAGTGGATCTGACACTGAGGAATAATATTCTTCGAAAAGTTTTTTCCTATTCAAGGTGACACATTACACACTTGGGGAAAAAACAGGGTCAGGTCTACCTTAATCATCGTAAAAGTATTACTCTCAGTAATTTTAAGCTTTTCACTCAAGTATCATATGCTTATTCTCTATAATCACTGGATCTTATCTCTTCATGTATTTGTTTCTTGTGGTATCAGGGATTGAACCCAAGGCATCAAATATGAAATCAATTAAAAGTAGAAAAAAAATCATTCCAAAGGTTTACAGTACAATGTTAAGTCAGAGTTTCCTTTCAGTGAGATAGCTGCAACACAACACAAACAAAAACATTTATGACAATAGCAACAGGCACATCTTTGTACATTCTGGGGCATTGCCAAAATATTAATTTCTAGACGACAGTTTGTGGTGACCACATTTGGGGAAGAATATAATGAACACAGAAATCCAACCAAGGAGGCATTGCCCTCAAGTTATAAATCCCCTGACAAAAATGCACCGACTCTGAGCCATGTGGACAACACTCTGCCAGCTCTTCCCATGGCTCTGTCTAGGACATTTTCTTTGTGAAATTGATGATCATCATGTCTGATTAGTGGACTAATGAGCTGTTGTGCTTGCCTTTTTCTTCCTGACAGTATTTTCTCAATGCCCTTCAGTGAACAGTTGACATCCTTCCAGCTCTTCCATCTGGAGCCCAGCTTTCTGAAGGGTGGAAGGAGAAGGGAAGGAAGGAACTGACAGTTGTCTCGCACTGTTATGTGTTGTGTATAGTGTGCAACAACCTAGAGGGAGCCTTTCTTCAGACCACCTGCCTATACAGCAAGGGCGCCAAAGGGCCTGAGGAGGGCTTAGCAGTTGCAGTTACATGTGCTTTAATATTCAGCACTTGGTAAAATGGGGAAAAAAAAATAGCAGCCCAAGTGCAGATACTGAGCTATGTTCCAAGCGAAAGCTGAGAGAGTGGGTAAAACATAAGAATCCTAGTTATAGATAAAATCTACTCTAGTTCGTTTCACTACTCATAAACCTGCAACAACAATGTTAGTCCTCGTGTCCCAAATAGCAACACTAGCAGAAAAACTAGCAGAAAAAGCATGATAATGGAGTCAGTGATCTGGTGTGAAATCTCATTCTGTTACCAATGACCTGTAGGAATTTCATCATTTCACCTTTCTGGACTTCTTTCAATACAGGCAAAAATGAGAAATAATAAAATATGCCTGGAAGAAATTATACAAGGAGGAGCGATAGCACAGCGGGTAGGGCGTCTGCCTTGCACGCAGCCAATATGGCCGACCCGAGTTCGATTCCTCCGCCCCTCTCGGAGAGCCCGGCAAGCTACCGAGAGTATTCGATATGCCAGACACAGTAACAACAAAGTCTCCAATGGAGACGTTACTGGGCCCGCTCGAGCAAATCGACGATCAACGGGAGGGCCTTTACCTTTACCTAAAGGACCAAACACGATGGCCTCTCAGTATCTGTATTGCAAACCATAATGCCCCAAAGGGGGGGGGGAGAGAGAGAGAGAGAGAGAAAGAGAGAGAGAGAGAGAGAGAGAGAGAGAGAGAGAGAATCCATAGAGGCAGGCTGGGGGAGAAGGGGACTGGCAGGAGAGATACAGGGGATATTGGTGGTGGTAAATAAATACTAATGCAGGGATGGGTGTTGGAACATTGTATGACTGAGACCCAATTGTGAAAGCTTTGTAACTGTATCTCATGGTGATTCAATACAAACAAATAAATAAAACGCAACCTTTAAGAGATATGTTAAAAATAAATTTAAAAATAAAGATAGATGATGCCAAATTTGTTCAATAAAGAGTCATGATAATTAGAGTACAGAAAATATAATCAACAAATTCTGGATTTATCACTTGACTAGCCATGTGATAATACTCAACTTGTTTCCCTTGTAATATGGCTATACTGGCAACAATTAATGCATGTAACTAAAGAAATACTGCATGGAATAATGAAGAGTTTACAAAATCATCAAGTTCAATGTCAGAAGGCATTTTTGTTTGAGGCTAGGTAGCATGAATGTACACTTCATGATGTAAGTGATTTGTCAAATGACTCACAAACAGCCTGGGAAACTGAAGCAGTTGCTAAGATGGTGGTTGATCGGTATGTTCCAAAGTAGGCACTAACTCTGTGTGCTGTCTGTGACCTGATCTTATGTCATCACTGCTAGGATGACTTTGCTTCTAAATCTTTTTTTTTGGGTCACACCTGGCAATGCACAGGGGTTACTCCTGGTTTTGTATTCAGGAATTACTCCTGGCGGTGCTCAGGGGACCATATGGAATGCTGGGAATCGAACCCGGATTAGCCGCGTGCAAGGTGAACACCCTACCCGCTGCGCTATTGCCCCAGCCCAGTTTCTAAATTTTTATTAAATGATTTTCATAAATATTTTATAATCTAAATGAATCCCTTGAAAGAACTAATCACCTCCTGATGTCTTCAATTCCAGAGTACCTTAGATATAAAAAAGTCAAGAAGAAATTTCTTTTTCTCAAAGAGGGAGAGAGAAGGAGAGAGGGAGAGTAGAGTTCATAAACACTATTGCTAGGATAAGCACAAATTACTTAGTTGAATAAAACCAAAAATAACCCTTAGGTTTGAGTATAATTATTTTGTTTTTTTATGTTATGTGGGGAACATGCAATTTTTGGAGGGTTTGGGGCCACACTTGACGATGCTCAGGGGGTTTCCTGGTTTTGCACTCAGCAAACATTCCTGGCAGTTCCCCGTGGCACCTATGGGTGTGCTGTGTGCAAGGCTAGCGTCTTACCCACTGTACTATCACTTTGCCCATTTTTTAAAAATAAAATATTTTAGCACTGGAAGAGATCCATTAGTTACATTCAACATATAATGGCATAATCATTACTGATCTTTTTGTATCATGTTCAGCGGTTTTTCATAACAAACAATACAAAATATATCATTTCGGTTCTGCTTTGGCAGGGATTGGGGTTTGGGATGGAAACACCCAAAATATGGCGGTGGGAAGGAGTAATGGTAGTGGGGTTGGTGTTTGAATATTAAATGTAACCAAATATTGTGAACTACTTTATAAAATTTAAAAAAAAAGAATGGGCCAGAGTGATAGTACGGTGGCTAGAGTGTTTGCCTTGCACATGGCCAAACTAGGTTTGGTCCCTGGCAA